TGAAGGAATGAATATCCTCACCTCCTAATCTTTCCATAATACCGGTTATAACAAGTCCTTGAGTATCATCAACTACAAGCATTCTAGTATTTGAGTGTACATTTGCCCATTTTAACATTTGTGAAAGCGTGTCTATTCTTAATTCTCTAAGAAAAAAAATTTTAAATTGAATAATATTAATTGCTAAAATCCATGAATGATCAATTAATCGATTCGGATTTAGTTGGTTTGGATTGAGATTAAGATTACCTTATTTTTGTTGGATTTTTAGAATAAAAATATTCCCACACAGAATATAAAGTTGGTCTTACTGGCGTAAAAATTCTTGAAAATCTTTTTGAAAAAAAGAAAAAAATTTATTTTAAAATCAAAAAAAAAAAAAAAAAGAAAATAATAATTCACACTCACTTTGCCTCTTTACGTTTTATGTATTTTGCTTTAGAATATTCTGTCTTTTTATCAAATGATATATGACTTTCAACAATATTTTTAATTACATCACTTCCTTCAGTTGCTTGTTGTTTTAATTGTTCAATTTCTTTATACGATAATTTTTGTTTTGACGGATCATCAAATATTTCTTGATTATTTGCTTCAGTTTCATCTAAAAACAAATTTAAGATTATTTATTAAATACTAAATATACACAATCATTATTATTATACACAAGTGTGGATAATTATTTTCTTTCATACCAACTTCAATAAAAGAAACATTCTTAATAATTTTTACTTTATCTTTATCATATATTTCGTAAGAGTGTCCAAAAGGTTTTCCTATTATAACATTTGTATGAAAAGTACCAAACTTTCCTAAGGAGACAGTACTATTAAATTAATTATATATATATATATATTATTATATATTATTATTATTTATTATATTTTCTTTAAAAAAATACGTACACATCCTTTTGAATTTTGACGACTTTAATATTTCCACTTGGCATTTGAATAAATATATATTGATTGTCATGTATAATTGATTCATCTCTTTCTCCTTCTTCTTCTACGTCTACGTCTACGTCAATTTTCAATTCTTCTTCATTTACTAATTCTGTTATCTCCATTTCATTAGTATTTGACATATTGAAAATTTTTTAAAAATTTTGATGATGCATCATGATCAACATTTTAATTTACATCTAGAGATGTTCAGGTGCGCATATCTTGCGCATTGCATCTTGCGCAGAGTTAAAAATATTTGAAAAGTTGGGTGGATTTCAGCAAGGCCCTGCTAAATGTAAATGAAATTGGTTCAAAATGTGAGGCACATTTTTAAAAGTGTAAAGATGTACTTATACATGTTTTATAATCATTTTGGGGTTTTGGAATTAATGACAATAATGAAAGTGATTATAAATTATTAGATAATTGCGATTGAAAACATTTAATTTATTATATTTTTAATACAATATTAAAACACAGTGAATCTCGATTTAGCGGATAGTTTGGCAATTAGGGAAAAATCCGTAAAACCGAGATTTTTTTTAATTAGTATCCGCTAAATCGAGGTATGCTAAATCGAGGTATGCTAAATCGAGATTCACTGTGTAATGATTTTTTTTTTTGAAAAAAAAAAGTTGCACAAGATGCACAAATTTATTGTTAATATTAAATATTAAATATGATAACTACTTCCACTCCCAGAGTATATTCTTGATTCCGAATTCCTTTAATTTTTGTGTGATATCTGGAATTTGTAATTATCACATTTGAGTGTTGCATGTAAAATCTATTATTATTATACAAGGGATTTTATTTCAAGAAAGTAAACTTGTTTTAAAAAAAATCAGTATTTCTTTTTTATTATAGACTACAAAGCTATTTTTGTTTCCTTTGTCAATCATGTCAATGAAGCAATCTAGCATAGTCTTTGTTAATCTGAATAACAAGGAATTCTTTGTTGTTTCTTGTTTGTTATGGACTACAAAGCTACTTGTTTCCTTTGTCCCTTTTTCTGCTTTTCTTTATCAATCATGTCAATGAAATGATTTAGCATGTTCTTGTTCTTCATTTTCAACAATGTTTTTGTGAGCATTACTGAGACGTCTATTAAGTGTAGATGTGGAGCCATCTTTTGAAGCTTTATAAACTTTGCTAAAAAAACTCAGATTTTACACTTTTTAAATATTTTTTTCCTGTGAATTTATTTTACAAATGGGATGTCCACCAACAATATAGGGGTCTGAAGACCCCTGGCCAAAAGTGAGTTTTTTGCATAATGCATATCTATATCATAAGGATTATAGTTGGTGAAAATTTTAAACCATGTTTACCTAGTACAATAAGGCTTTGTTTAACCAATTTTGTTTTGATAATTACACAGAACAATTTAATAATCTCAGACCCTTTTTGCTGGTGGACATCCTGAAATGATTACAGTTATATTCATTTTTTTGTTCATCAAGAATGAAATGAGGATGCACAATTGATCACTTTTTTTTTGAAGTTTTGTCACTCAAAACAAGATTTGTTTGGTACATCTTGTTCAGAATTATTATTTTGTTAAGTAACTTCTTGAGTAATATTATTATTGTCATCAGAATAAAAATTCTTGATCCATTGAAAATAAATAGTCAATAATGTATTATCTTAATTTAAAATTTTCTCTGATTTGTTAATTGTCATTTTTTTTTTTTTCAAACAAAAAAAAAAGTTTATAAAATATATATGTAAAATATTATTGGTTGTTAACCACTATGCATATCGTCAAATTAAAAGCCGTGTGTGACGCAAATTAGTGTGCGTGACAAAGAGACACATTTCGTAAGGACGCAAAATGTAATTCGTGACGCAAGACGTAATTCGTGACGCAAGACATAATTTATGGTGCAAGACACAATTCGTAATGTGTGTATGAATTAATTCAAATTTTAACCACACACAAAACTTTTTTATTTATTACACGAATTTTATTGATTTTAAAGAATTTTGAGTGTTTCATAACCAGGAATTTTTATTAGTCAAGAAATTGGCATGAATCATGCTCGCGTCACGAATTGAGTCTTGCATCTTGCATCACAAATTGAGTCTTGAGTCAGTTGCATAAAATTATGGTAGATGATTTTTAATCGCAATTCAATAATTTTGATCACAAATATAATTGGTAATTCTCGGGTCTACCTGGACCATTCAGAGCTTATAAGTTGGCTAGTGCGTATGAAACAGGTAAAAAAATAGACTTTGATGATTCTAATAATAATATTAATAGAATTAACAATATTGAATATTTGAGGAAATACAAAAAAAAATGTAAATATAGATGCTTTTGTTAAAAATGAATTCTTTTTCTTTACGAATTTATCCCCAAGTTTTATTGAATGCATTCGCTGGAAAGTCATTGAAGAAATGTAAAACAGTCCATTTAATCTATTTTGGTATCAATTCTCGATAAATGAATGCAATACAGTCTTTATCAATAATAATAATTCATCATTAATAAAAAAAAAGAGGCGGATAAAATCTTTTTAATACTGAAGAAATAATTTTAGAGAATCGGCAGAAAAATGTGCGAGTGTGGATACATATAAATCCTCGAGATTCTTATTTAGCAACTGACATTGCTATTGCTGGTGGATCAATATTGCTCTCAACCTCTCGTTCCACCTTATCGCTCAAGAACTTATTATTATACACTCACGCAAACCATTAATACCAGTTGGGCAACATTTCTTCAATATTGAAAAGATTCTCCCCGGTCGGGAGATTCAACGAAACAATTGGTTATTCATTCTTTGTTTTTCCATTTGTTTAAATTCATCTACGAACGTGCACACCCGATGACAACTTTTGAATATTGAAATTTTTGATTTGGAAATATTACAAATTTCCTAAATAGTTTTAATATAAATAACTTGTAGATCTCTCTCTTTCTAATATATACTAATTACTAATATAATGTTTCGACGTTATAATAATAACAATCACTTCTTCTTAATAACTACTACAATCAATAAAAATTGCAATTTTACTACTAATTTTAAAAATAAAATTCAATTAGAACAAAAAAAGTTATCATCATCAGTTGAAGATACTACTGCTATTACCGAAAGAGTGGGAATCCTTCTTCCTCCACCTTTGACAACAGAAAATAATAGTAATAACAATAATACAATAAATGTGAAATTAGATGATTTAGGACCCGTAGTTGTTAATGAAGATGGAACAATTAGTCAAATAACAAATTGGTAAATTTTTCAAGATTTTGATTTTTCAGAATATATATATATATATATTAATTAATATTAATATTAATGATAATTGAGGCATGAGATGGCAAAAATCGAGAAAGAAAATTTAAACAGAATCTTATTAAAAAGAAATAAAGAAAGATTAGAAAGATTAAAGAAAAATCAACAAGAACAATAATAATAATAACAACAAAATCAATCGTCGTCGTCGTCGTCATCTTACACACGAAAAAACCAAATCGTTTATATTATTATTTATTATAATTTTATTTTTTTGTCCAAAGAAAAAAAGAAAACACTAAATTTTTGAATTTTTTTTTACGAATTTTTTAAAAAAAGGAAAAATCATTTACAGAAAACATAAAAAGAAATATAAACACAGAAGTGAAATTTTAAGAAAATTTTTTTTTAGAATTGAAAAAAATAAATAATAGTATATATAATTTAGCCAATGTCTCCACATTTAAAAATTTTTTTGGCTAACTAATATATAGTAAAATATAAAATATTTATTTATTCATCGTGAAGAAAGGATGATTAAGTGCCTCGTCAATTGATATACGTTTCAATGGATCGTTTATCATTAATCTTTTAATAAGATCGATCGCATCTGGCGAGTAATTTTCAAACCGTTTTTCAGGAAATTTTACACCGGCGTATACTTGTTCCATTACTGGTTTCTGATCATCGAATGGATATCTACCAGCCAAACTAAAAAATCAAATGTAATGCAAATATAATATGTAAATATAACATGAATATATATATTATTTTATTATGACAAACAAAAAGATATGCTTACCATACGTAAAAAGTAGCACCCAATGACCACAAATCAGCACGTTTATAATTTAACCATGCCAATTTATCTGTACGATGGAATTGACCAAGTATTTCAGGAGCTATTAAATAGAATAAAAATTTTATTTTTGTTATCATCATTTCTTATTATTTCTTATTTATTATTTGTTATTAAAGGGATTTTTTCTTTACACATACCAGCAAAAGCAGGAGTTCCTACTACTTGTAAACCTGAATGATAACCAAATTCAGTCGAAAGACCAAAATCACCAAGTTTTGCAAATTCATCTTCATATAACATGATATTTTCAGGCTATACAAATAATAAAAATACAAACAGATCATTAGTCTTTAAGATCATAAAATAAATAAATAATAAAATAATATAGTACCTTTATATCACGATGAACATAACCAGCATCATGCATAGCTTTAACAGCTTCAAGTATTGATTTCATAAATCCACGAGCATAACTTTCAGTCATTCTCTTACGATAAATCACATCGCTCAAATCTTTATTTGCTAATGGCATTATATAGTAAACTTTTTTGGGAGTTTCAACTAAATCTAAAAGTGGGATAAGATTTGTCTAATAATCAAAAGAAAAAAGAAGAATTAGTATTTTAGTATTTATATAATAGTAAATAGTAAGAATAATAATAATAATATTATTATTATTATTATTATTATTGACTCACCAAGCCTTCCATTTGTAACATCATTCTTCCTTCATTAATTATTTCAGAATTCTTCTTTAATTGTTTTTTATTTGCATAATGTATTGTACCCAAACAACATTTAAATTGTTTCTTTAAACATTTAACTGCCACACGTGTTTCATTTTGTATGTCAATACCCTTAAAAACTTTTCCATGGTGACCTTCACCAACTGTATTTCTTTTGTCTATGAGATATCGACCATTTAATAAACGTTCATTTTTACTTTTTTTCTCGATCGAACCAATATTTATTGTAAGTTTTCTGGTTTTTTTACGGGCTAGTTCGAGACGCTTTCTAGCCTGATCTTCTTGTTTTTTATTTTCGGGGGATTCTGATTTTTCAAATATGGAAACACTTTTTTCTGCTGCATTCTTTATAAAATCAGAAACGCACGATATTGGATTTTTTCGTAGTTTTGAGTTTTTCTTTGAAGATTCCTATTTTGTCAATAATATTAATATTAATAAAATCATTTAACATGAACGAATCATTTGATTATAATTATTCATAATTACGTTATTCTTTTTACAATCTAATTGATTTTCTATAATAGTTGTCGTCTCGTTAAACTTGACATTTTTTGAACAAATTCCAAAAGTTAAATCGTCACTCTAATGAATAATAATAATGATGATATATTAATGTGAATGAATATAATAAGTATCATGTGAGAATTCATTTCACAACAATTACTCACGTCATTATTGCAAATGCTAATATCAATATCGTTTTTGTTGTTGTTGTTGTTTAGCAATAATTCACAATCTAATTTCTTTCTATGTACAAACTATTTTACAAACAGTTTAATTATTTTAATAAATTAATCATTTAATCGATTAATTACACTGCGCGTATATAAATAATAATCATTACTTACATCAAGTATTTTTTCATTATTATGATTATCTGGAGTTCTATTTAGTCCTTCGTTAATCTTTTTAATTAACTATACAATCATAACGTCATTAGTATTACATTATCATCATGTATCAAGATTATCGATAAATATATATTTACTTGTTTAACTCTATCTTGATTTGGGTCAATGTTTAAATTAATTGAGACGATATTATTAAATTCCTTTAATAAATCATCGACCCAAAGTTCTAAACTTTCATTTTTTGAAGATGAAACAGTTGTTGATTTTTTGGTGGATGAGATACATATTCCAGAGTCTAATCGATCATCGTCTATCATTGTTTCTTGTTGACTATAATTATAAAAACTATTATTATTATTATTATTATTATTGATATTACTATTACTATTACTATTATTATTGTGAAGTTTCTTCATTAATTGATGAAATGTTGGGTTGGAGGTTCTTGTTTTTGTTGTGGCTAAAGGTGCCGTTGAATTGTTTACAATGTATTGTTGTACCAACGCCATTATTATTATGCTAGTAAAAGTGTAAATTTAAATATCCTTTCTACCGTTTTTATTTATTAATCTTAATTAAAAGAATTTTACGATTATTACAAAGAAAATAATGATAATACAAATTTCACCAGGAAATAACAAAAATAAAAATATAGATGTGTTGTGTTAAAAGTAATTATTAAAGTAATTATTAATTTTAAATGTTCTTATTATATATATATATATATATATATAATATGTATATGTATAAATATGTGTATAAATATGAATAAAGGAAATTTTAGATTAAATAAAAGTCTAAGAATGTTATATTTTAGATAAAGAAGTTTGCTTTTAAATATTATTATTATATTATTTATTAATTTATTACATGTTTTTTTTTATATACAAATTATAATGATCTAAATAGTCTAAAAAGAACGAGTAACCAATAAAGAAAAAGAATAAATTTTAAAAAAAATTTATATTTTTTTTTAAAAGAAAAATTTCAATATATTTATATAATTTGTATAATAATTTATACACAGTAAAATATAAATGTGTATAATTGTGTGTATATATATGCGTGCATATAATATAATAGAAGAATTTTTACGAAAATCTCACACGTTCACCAATTCACTACAATTGACCGTTAATTTAATTGATTCATTTGTTTAGAGAAAAGAGAACTGTAATGAGTATAGCGAGCGTGAGTTAAGTGGAAGGATTAAAAGGAAAATAATAATTGGGGAAAATTAGATTTTCTTAATAAAGAGGGTTATTTTATTTATTTTATTTATTTATTATTTATTTATATTTATTTATTCATGCAAAATAAAGCCAGATAGAATATAAAAAAACCCAGACTTTATTTATTTAGGCTATATAGTTTTTACCATTAAATTTTCAGGGGGCCAAAAGATTTAGATCATGTGATTCAGATCGTGACGACCTTTCTCCCTTTTTCCTTTTCTTGTTAATTTTTTTACATGCGTTGTTGGTTAAATTAATTAAGGTTTTTTGGTGTGTATAGCTGAAATAAACCCTGAAATATTTATGGTAATATTTTTCTAACGAATTATATTTAATTATATACAATTCATTCATTACCTAAAAAGTAACTTTTAATATTAATTAATTAAAGACCCTCTCTTCTCCTTGATTTAAATATAATAAATACCCATGCGGTGTAATATAATACTTGACTTAAACTATTCCTCATTTGGGTTGTATAATAAATTTTATTATGACTGTGTAACGACGTAACGAAACATTATTTTTGAATTTTAAATTTTTTATATATATGTTTAAAAAATATTAATTTTTTTTATGTCTTACTTTAGGAACCGTCCATTGTTCGAAGAAATATACACTTCATGTTTCATAAATACAATATTATCATTGTTTGAATCATCGTTAGTATAAACGTTATTATCAGCCAGCTGCTACCAGCCTAGTTTCATCTTTTGATTGAAAAAAAAAAAAATAATACAAAACGAACGGATGAATGAATAGATGGAATCCTTTTTTTTTATCATGGATTCGCGATTGGATTGAACGGATTTATAATCCATTAGGATGCACGGTTCATCTTTTTATTTTTATTTTTTTATTTTTTTTTTGCGGCAAAAAGATTTAATTTTGAGGCAAAAATTCCCGAAACAAAATTGTTTGGGCTAATCTCTATTAGTTTCTTTATTAAGTTTAATTGTTTTTATTTCAAACTCTTTAAAGGAAAATTAGGAGAAAATTTTTTAATTTTTCTAAAATTTGATAAAAATAATTTAAAATTTAAAAATAATTTAAAATGATTACATCATTCGACGATTATAAAAATTATATGATAAGGTTTAAAGTAGTGGTAATAAAATAATTTTTGATGGTTGTTGTTGGTAGCAGCAACAACAACAAATACCTGCTGTCACAATATTAATATTTACAATAGTAGTAGTAATTGTAGTCGTGTGGTAGTGCAATGCCGAATATCTTTGAAACAAATATAAAACAACTTGTTCTTCTTTAATAGAAATAAAATAAAAAATTCAGGTTTTTTTAATCAATCACTTGTTTAAACATGTGAATCGTATGTAAGATGAATGGTGAATGAGAAAAAATTTTACATCATAAATATGCATTAATAAATTATATATTCTCCACAAGTATAAAAAAAAAAAAAATTAAATAACAATGACACCATTTTTTCTAATTTTGGCCAAATTTATTATTGTAGGAACTAATTTGGAATTATTATAAAAATCAAATGCTTGTATATTTGTATATAATAAAAGTATAACGCGTAAACATAAAATAATTACCTTACAACTTAGGTTAATATTTCATGAGTACTTTTCCTATTTGCTACTAGAAATAAGCTCACGTGATATGGAATTTTTGGTAACTATATTTGCTCTATTTACTCTCGATCTGAAATTTATGTCTTTGGAAATAAGATTTAAACAATTGACTTTCACAATAGATTTTGCCAAGTTGACATTGAAACTTGAACTAGATATCAAAGAAACAATTTTTCGGGGCCTATTATATTCTATTAGTTTGTTCTGAAATGTAAACACCAGTATGTCTCACTAATATTAATTTTTTAATAACTATAATTTGAAATAACAAAGCTAATTACTAATAGCATAGTGGAAATTTGAAATGTTACATTAAATTTTTATATTGTGCAATGTAAACTTTATAATACACGGCAAACATTCTGGCAATAAAAAGTAAATGATAAATTGGACCTGAACTTGATCTCCAATTTTAGAGTAACAACTATATACTGGTGAAGTTTTGGGAGTAATTGGTTCTGTATAACATTTAGTGTAACAACAAACTTCCACTATGCTAATACTAATAAAGATTAGTTATATAGCAAATTTTTTGTCATACAAACAAAAAAAACGATGGTTCAAAAACTTACCATTTTGGGGTATGAAATTTATTATCAAACGGTTTTTCGGCTATTGATATATAGCCGAAATTTTTTTTTCTGTTATTATTATAAAAATCGTTTTCTGAAGTATCACTTCCTAATACGAAAATGATCTTTGAGATTCAGCTGGTCGATTGACTATTTTTACTTTGCAGATCGTTAAATTGGCCAATAAGAATGCAAGATCGTGATCAAAAAAATTATTTTATGTTACCATTAAAGAATACTTTGACCGTTTAAGAGATAGAGACGAATGGTAATGAAGAAAATATAAAAAGTTTAAAAAATATCTTACTGAAAATGGCTAATGAGTTTCCTTTTTGGGCCTTTTTTAATTAAAAAAATCCAATTTTTATTATGTAAATGCTTAAAGATCTTACTGGTGTTTTTAACGAGGTCACTACCCATTTTTGTTAATACAAGTTCAATTATAATTGTCCAAAGTCCTAAAGAGGCCCATGTCCTATACCACGTGAATACATGGACATCATAATAAATAAAAAATAGTTCCGTAAACTACACATTTAGGTTACCTTTCTTTTGGGCAAATCAATATGCTCTCTATAACAAACCTTTGGCTGTGCAAGAAAAGGTCATTATAGACAGAGTTCATTATAGGAACTTTATATGTAATCATGTGGATTAAATAATTCATAATTTATTTTTTTTTTCAATAATGACAACAATGTTCATTTTATTATTATTCTCCTCTACCACCTCTACCTGCCATTAATAATAAAAAATTTTCTTTTTATGATGCATCAATATCCATCACCATCGATTGTTCTTTATTTTGATGTTCAACTTTATCTGCTTCAGCAACAGCTTTGATTGTTTGTAATTTGGTTTTGATCGATGAAAGTGTTGGAACAAGTTCAATATTGCGTTGAATCTCACGTATATTCTCTGCCCTCTCGCGTTCCTTGTTACCAGACATTCTATAAAATATTCACATTGGAAAATGAGCATACTATGGAATAAATAAATTTACATACTAATAACCACACTAAAGAAATAATACCTATTCTTGTAAAATGCTTTTTCACGTTTAGCTTTGATCTCCGAAATTTTCTTAATAGCCTTTATAGTTGTAGACATAAGTTCACGATCATACCGTATTGGTACGTTACGGCGTTTCTCAAATTCAAACGTTGAATCCTTTATGATATTTATTTATTGGAAAATAATTAAACACAATATATATTTTTCCCATTCATCAAAAATCCTAATCATAAATTTTTGTCACTTACTATGGCCATTTCTTTGCCAGCTGCTTTTCTAAATGCTTTTGTCCACCTTACTTTACGTGGATTGCGTTTATGTTTAAAGGCTGCATGACACTTACTTCTACAAAATCTAAATACCTTTATTTTTAAGAAATTATATTAACTTTCAATTATTTTTGATTATTTAATCGAGAGTTTTTTTAAATTACCTTACTATCATTTCTTACAAACATTGTCCCATGTCCGGGGTATACTGTAGAAGAACAAAAGTAACATTTTTCTAAACGCATTATTGAAGATACAATTAACTAATTTTTTTTTGTTTTTTTGATCTAAAAAATTTTTTTTTTGAATTACTGAATGGTGTAACAATAATATCGTGTAACTTCCGGTGTCAAAATATTTGGAAATGAGAAAGATTTGGTTCCATTCATACTGCAGTATAGACAAGAGATCTATAAATGATTATAAGAATCAAAAAGAAGTTATTTTGGAATTCAAAAAATGCCAAAGTAATTCAATAAATATTTATTATTTTAAAAATCTAATTTAGGCATTGAATTATTGTAAAATTAAAATAGTTTTTTGCTATTGTATAATGAAATAACTATGCATCGAGGAAAAAAATTAGCTTTAAAAGGTAGAATTAAATGCTCTATTATTTATGTTCATGATAATAATGATATCATACATGAGATTTAATCCATCATGAATAATATACCAGTATAAGGAAGTCCTTGTTATATTACAGGTTAGGATTATGTGGACCAGTTGATGATAGATCATCACATAAATATATGGAATCATCATGTATTGCATCGAAGTTTTCCAAATAAGAAAAAATACAAAGGACTCAGATATTTATAGTGTTGGAAATGTTAATTAGGATACAATCCATCATTTGTAAAGGTTTAAAGACCACAAATTTTACTTGGAGAGGAATTATTAACAAAAGTTGTTGAGAATTTGATCATTATTAATCTTGATTTTTGATAGGCAAATTTACCATTGGAACCAACGGAAAACTGCTTGGAATGCCAGAAGAATATGTAAAAAATGATTGGAAACTTGCCCGATTTTTTTTTTCATTGAAAATATATACTGGTGTGTCACACAGATATAATAATAGATGAAATTATGCAAGTTTATATAACACGACCTTGAATTAAAAAATTTTATTAATATTAAATTTTATTTTATTATAAACCAGATTCTAGTAAAAATAATAATGGCAGAGTAAAAGTCGTCGAAAGAATTGATGCGATTGGCAAGATCGACGATGTTTGATGAAATAATTGAAGAAAACACGATCGAAGGTAATTTTAATATTGACTCCAAATATGCATATATAATAAATTCTAATTTTTGGTTTTTAAATTAGAAATTATGATAACAATGAATCGATCGATTTTTATGCAATCGATTGTAAAATCGATTAATCGAAAAAAATTTTGTGTAATTTGATAGTTTTTTTCATCTTCGTTAAAAACCATAATTCTAATAATAATTCTTCCAATAACAACAATTTCTTCTATTGTTCCTACAAGGTGTACTATATAGTTTATTATTAAATATGACAACACTACTATTTCTCTATTATTTTTACTACTTGAGGGTAGTAGGTTCTTTTATTAATTCAAAGAACTTCAACTTCCCTCCATAAAACCCTTTTCAGTGTATATTATTAATATATTTATGCTGCACAGTCTTTTATGGATCAATTTAACTAATACGACTAGCAAAAGTTTGATTATAATAATATATTAGTATTAGTATATAAAATAAATAAAAATTCTCATATTTCTGAATCTCATGACCGATTTTGTTACGAAACATCAGTTCACAGTCTATTTTTGTCTAAGTTTTATTTTTAAAATAATTCTCGCAGTAACTAATTTTCGTAGCCGAAACGCCGAAATTACTTTTTAGGCAATCATCCACTAAAAAAAATAATAAATGATGATAAATAAATCGATTTTCATTAAACATTAAATATCAAGAAGTGGAATTAAATTGGTACATATTAATATGACAAAATAATTATCCATTTCAGGAATGATAGCTAACAAAAAAATTTATTAGGAAGGTTTAATGTTTAGTATTCTCATTCCCAAACACTGAACTTGTAACATACCCACACCAGATGCTAGCTCATAGGGCAAACTGAACGTTAATAGTTAGAAGTTTGTATTGTGCATGGCTTAAACTCAAGAACTTGCATGGCTTCATTCCATTTGGCTTTTGGACTAAAGAGTCCATCCATGGCCACCAAAGTTTTTCAATGTTGTCATTAACCGGATACAGTTGAACTGTAAGTCTTTGGCGAGTATCAAAAATGATAAATTTTTAATTGTAAGATACAGTTACCTTATTGTTTCAATTGGAATCTTGGAAAACTGTCATACCATCAGTTATAACTAAGCGAGTTTTGTTTCACTAAACCAACTTGCAGAAGTTGGCCAAACCTTCGAATTGTGCCTCCTTTTTGACGCGTTCTTCATTATCTGAAAAAGATTGCACATTTAAAGTCTCAAGTATCAGGAAGTAGTAATGCCACACAATCCAGTTATGTTGCTAATAATTATTACGATTACGTAATCTTGTAATTTTTCTATTTTACCTTATTTTTGTTTATTGTAATATTTATTTTGTTAAAGACGCTACTATTGTTAAATGTTTACTAATCAAGAAAGAACGTTAATATTTAACCTTGTGAAAAATATATGGCTATAATGATTTTTAGATAATCGTCGATAACGATCCTGACTAGTTTAAAATCTTTGAAGGAAAAGAAATCTGGTCGACGGGTTCGGCGGATACTACCTTACACCAATAATCAAGATAATAAGAAAAGGCATATAATCAAGAAAAAAAGTTTTCGGCGTCGTAATGGCTCCGAGGGTTTCGTGAATAAATTGTAACAATTGAGTTCTTGCTCTATCTTTCAAAAGAGTTTGTTTTGAAGCTTTTTTGCGTCCAGATGTTCGGTGCTTGCGTGGGAATGGAAAGGAATAAATTATAGACACGCGAAATCTGATTTTCCTTATATACCATTTTACTTGACTTGATTTATAATTTTATTTGATGTATTTATTTATCAATCTTTTATACAAATATTTATATACATTTATGTCAATATGTCAAGTAACCTTGGTGTCTTTTTTACTTCATCAAAAAGGTATAGTAACTATTTATTATTATTACAAAATTTTAAATTTTTCTTTGGAAATAAAAATTTAAACTTTTATATCGTGGCTATGTATATATATTAATAATAAAAAAAAAGCAAAGCATACATAGCCACATCAAAGTATATATAAATAAAATATTTGCTTTTTGATTTTCGTTCAAAACAAATTCAAAGCCATCTTTTTATTTAATTATTCGTGAGAGTGAAATAATGAATCAATGAATGAAAAAAATTATTTGATGATGAATTATTATTTCTTAAAAAATAAAATAATAAATACTAAAAAATATTACAAAGTCCATTTTTCTCTCACATTAATTATTCTTTTCCCATTATTATTTCTTTTATTTATAGTTTTAGACAACAAACTTCATTTAAAGAAGAGACACATATACGTTTAAAAACCCAATTAATATATAATATCGTATAAAATTAAAAGATGAATGACTTTATGGTATTAGATGGAGATGATGATGACGATGATGGAGAATGTTACCTAGATGAAGATTGTCCTTTAATTAGTGAAGGACAGTTATGCATTCATGGAGTTTGTGCATTTGAATGCTTGGGAAATAGTGATTGTCCTCAAGAAGGAAAATGTGATTCAAATTTATGTAAATGGTCCGACGAGCTTACTCCAACAACAACAAAAGAAGTAGAGTCACCATCATCGTCATCATCGCCAACAACGACAACTACTTCATTAAATAATGTTGAAAATTTAATTATGCAACAACAACAACAAGAACAATTTAATTCTACAACTGACGCAGATAGTAATAGTGTTAGTATTGGTAGTACGAACGATGCTAATCCTTTAACGATACCAATAATTTTGGGAGTTATTATAATACTTTTTACAATTGGAATATTATTTTTATTAATTTATCTTTTAAAAAAACGTAAAGTAAAAAACAAATCCAAATTACCCAAAATTAAACGCTCAAAGCTATCTACTTCGAGTGTTGCTCCAGAAATGCGTAGTACATCGAAAAACAATAACAACGGTAAACATAAATCAATCTTTCACACCGCAGCTACTAAAAAAACAGAAACTCAACAATCAACTTTGTTTCATTACAAAGGGGAGGAGGAGGATGAAGAAGAAGAGGGTAAAGAGGAATTTGAGGAAACATTCGCCGAAGGTGCAGTTGGGTATTCTGCCTCAGAGAATTTAGGAGATAAATCATTTTCTCATATACAGTCGCAAACTGTCTATGGAAATTCTGCGTCCGCCACCTCAATGATCGAACTGCAAACTGCTTCACATCTTCCTGTGCTTCAAGAACATCATTTTATGTCACAAGATGGATATATTTCACCTCAACCTTAGCCTCGCGATAGTAACGACAATGATCAGATTAATGTTTAATTAACTGCAAATTTGTAAACTTATAAATTATTTATTCTTGTATGTAAAAACTTAAATATAAATTTTTCTTTGTAATATATGTGATCGATCTACTTTTATGGCATGATGAATAATATTAATATCAACAATATTGATGCATGGATCATTTTAAAAGTTTATCTCGAGCTACACATTGATACGTTACTTAACAGTTTAGGACGTGAATTCTTTATATCAACAGTGTCAATATACATAACTAAATTTATCCCCCCTGAAGGAATCACGTAATGACACCAAGACATAATAATAATAAATATTTCCTTTCCACATCCTAACCCTTTTTTTCTTCCTTTGTTTCACCTTGTTTGCCTAATGCTGATTATATTTATTGAAGATCAATTTTCCTGGTGTGATATTGATTATCTATTAACCTACTTTTATTCTTAATTATGTATATTCAAGCCATTTAACAATGTAGGAAATCATATGAAATCATATGACGCAGGGACTCGCATGATGAAGGCTATAACATGTGCATAAAATACATAAAATTTATTATTTTTTAGATTATATTATTTTAGCTTTAGCATCTGTGATTAAACTAAATGTTTTTCTTAATAACGTGATATTCAAAGATTGAACGCATATGGACGTTCGGTAACATGTAATTGCCCTTTTTAGGGATCAAGCCAGTCGACAGGAACTCCGGGAGTGATGGAATATCTACGAAGGAAAACGAACATTCTGATGGAACTCTTGTCAGAGGGAATTGTAAATAACCTGGATCACTAATCAAAAAAAAATAAATAATCAGTAATGTGATATTTATGGTTGTAGATATACAATTAATTAAAGCCATTTTGAGTGTCGAGTGTTCTGTTATTTAAACCCGCATCGTTCCACTCGATTAAAAGCAATGGGTCTTCATATAACTCGTCGTCATGGTAATTATTATTCCTGTGTTTGGCTTGTACCATTTTTGCCCATTGAAGAATAGGTTTTTAGAATCTTTCCATAGGGTCGTTTGTTAAGACAAACAAACAAACCATATTGTAATCCTAAAATGACAAAGGTTATGATAAAAGAAATGCTTGCAAAATAACATCACCTGTAGAAGACATCCGAGTAAATTTTTTGATTAGTTTCTTAAAGCATAAAGACATTTAGATATCTTGTTTAAGTATGATGGTAATGAATTCAACCCTCCTTTTTTTTACTGAAAAGGCCAATTGATTGGTTGCCAATTTTATATTATGTTAATCCTAAATTTGGCTACGAATTTATTAATAATTAAATAGGAAACTAGGATGCTATGAACCAACGTCCAAATAAACATACATCGTTGCAAAACTATACTAGTGTTAATTCTTAAAAGGAGCACATACGAAAAGTCCTGTCACCACCAGAAATCCAAATTATATTATAAAAGGCACATTTTTGATTTTTTTTGTAACATATACAGTATTTGTTAAACGATAGTTTCGCATTATGTTATTTATTTTTCATTATTGTTATTTTCAGACAACAACATTCCTCATCAATGATAATGATTAATTGATTAATTGATCAAATGATTTTGATATTATTTTTTTCTTTACTGGTTTCATTTATCATTCTAGCAGATCTTGCCCTTTTCAACAATTTGCTAGATTCAATCAACCCCAATCCTCTCGCTATATGTCTTTGTAAAAATTTATCGCCAATCCCTCTTTCGACTCTTAGATCAAGCTTTAGATGAATTGGAATTGAATTCAGATAAGAAAACTACATTAGCCGATAAAGATGAATATATTTATTCCTTTGCATGTGAAGTAATTATTCTATCGTCGCGTCTTTTTTTTATAATATAAATTATTATTCGTCTGCGTTTTATATCTGGACGAACAATATATTGACACCTTATGTTTACACGAAAACACTTATTATTTTACAAAAACAAAAACGTTTACGATTAATAAAAACCAAAAATTAAACCGTTGCTTTCTACCAAGGCAAATAGCCGAAACCGAGTTACAAAACCTCAGAATTATATGCCACTCGATAACCAAATGGACAATTAAACCCTACTGCTTAATTTCCGACTACAAAAATGTTTTTATTAAACGAAAAGAATTAATTTGTAAATACGGATCAAATAGTTACTAGCTAATAGTAGATAGTTCATAGTTGATAGTCATTAGTCATTCGAAATAATAATTTTATCGAAGTGCCAGCAATCATATTGCGAACATGTGTGTCCCAATATCTTTATATGACATTACGACATTATGACAATAGATATCTGAATATATTTATGACATCACGACATTACGACACGTCAAAAGTCATTAATAGTTTAGGCCGCATGTATATTGATGACGCGTCTAGTAGTCATGCCAGAAGCGTAAAATAATCAATCTTCTTGATAATAATATTATCTTAAAAATAACACTTTTACATTGACCATAATAATTAACCCTCCATTGTGAATAAAATCTTTCATGGAACGCAAGTGTCCTAATGCTCAGTGATTAAAGGGAAAAGCAGTTGGTAGCTAAATACTAACAGGGTTCACAATTTGATCGACACTGGAGGGAGTTGAAGAATTATGAAAGTGGAAAAGGAGACTCATCTTTAATGAACATATTGCAACAAACAAACAGATTGACAGATCAAACAAAATCAATGAATTGTCTTCTAGAAATGAAAATATTGGTATGGAACTTGTTTTTAATGATAATAGTAGTGGCGAAACCGATAACATCGATATGATTAATTCATCTGATAATACTGGAAATGATGATAACATAGAAGAAGTAATTGTTTAACAAACTTTCCAGTTTATTGATTTTCGCTTCCATTAAGTCAAAAATGACGTATGCAAAAAAGTAAAATTGCTTTAAAGGCTAAAAAGTTCACAAAAAAAAAAAAAAAAATCTAAACATTTTTTATCTTTATATTTTTCTTCATCAAGAGCCAAATTTTTCTTTTACTGAATACTGTACAAATTCAGTTCCCACATACTCACTAATCGTTGATTAGGGATTTGTATAATTGTATACTTATGTTCCAGGGTCAATTAATTTTAATGTATAATTATATGAAAATTTTACGCAAAAGCTTATTATCAAATAATTAGCATTCAGATAAAATAAACTTTGTGATAGAGTCATTATTTTTATTAAACGTTAATAAACTTTTTAAAAATAAAATCGTTGTCTTTATTTTCTTTGTTTAAAGCGCTTTGATAAAAGCAACAAGTGTAGTTCCTCGGTAAAAAGCAACAATTATGGAACTTTGGTAAAAAGCTACATTTTATTTGCTTTAGTGAGTAAGCAAAGGTTAGAACTAACCAACTAGTGGATGTTAATGAAAGTTTAATCAGAAATACTGATAGTATTATTGTAATCACAAACCTAAGGCTGTTAAACAAGCTATTTAAGTTGGTTTGCAAGTAAACCAAAGCGACTTCGCAATCGGCCAATGAACGTAAACGACTGAAGTAAACCAAAGCCCTTGAACTTTGCAAAAGGCCATCTTTATTTATTTACAGTTACCTAGTACCATTAAGTGTGCTCATAGATTCGTCTAGGTGCATTGATCGAGAACCAAAGTAAATTCGTAAACTAATTAATTGGCAGGCACCGAATTATTGTAAATTAACTGACAAGAGCATCCAAAGGTTAAGCTATAATCAGCCATACTTGTTAGATAATCGATATTAACTGAAACGATACCTTGCGATATCACCATTTAACAAGAATAAAAAAAACTGTGAAAATTTTATTATTTCGAAATAATTTAGCTTTAAATAAAATAAAGATAAAATAAAAAGACATAACAAATAATTTAAATTAGTCATTCATTGATTCTTTTTTTTAATTATTAGAATCAAATGTAAACAAAAAATATTGTTAGTAATAATTAATGGATAGTAAGTTCCAATTAATTAATTAATAATGAAATTTTTATTCACCTTCAACATTTAAGAGAATAGAGTTAAAATCAAGACTATTTAATGAACTATCATTACTTGTATAACTTAAGCTTTTGGATTTAGCAATTTCGTTATCTAATATCCTACTTTTATGATATGCATCTGGATGTGATTTGTGCACTTGTTGTGAGTCACCACCACTACCACTACTAATATTACTGCTTCCAATATTATTATTATTGTTATCATTATTTTCAAGAATTTCCTTATGTTTATTAGTAGCAAAGTCCAAAAGCTCTTCACTAGTTGGTCTTTTTGATGGATCCATATCCCAACACCTCTGCATCATTTGCACATAATCATCAGGCATTCCAGGAAATATTGGTGGTCGTGAACCTTTACATATATCAAAAACTAAACAATGGTTATGAGCTCTATCATCAAATGGTGGATGACCTGCAAATATTTCCCACATTAACATCCCAACACTATAGATATCTGATTCTTTGGTGTTCTTTTTGCCTCTAAGTAGTTCGGGTGCAACATATGATACAATTCCATAGACTTTATCTGATGACTTTTCATCAACTGGTCCACATAATCCTAAATCTGTAATATAACAACCACCTCCTTGCATTAATATATTACCACTATGTAAATCACAATGGATTAAATCTTTGTAATGTATCTCATCTAATGCATCACATAAATGCATAAAGATTGTAATTCTGTCTTTTAATGTTAAATTTGAATGATTTTTTCGTGAATAATCCCTTAAATTTCCACCTGAAACATAAGGTAGAACAATTGCATAATTTCCATTATCTGGGAATTTGGTTATACCATAACAAGGAATGATAGTTTGTGATTTAATTTTACAATAATTCACTGCCTGAAAATAAATATAAAGTCAATTAGTGTTATATAATACAGCATTGTTGATTTTTATTTTACCAACCTCATCAAAAAAGCCTTTTCCTGGATTACTTGAATTATTTAAACTTTTTAATACTACTTTTTGCTTTCCATAATAACTAAATTCCTTTTTATTTTCATCATAATCAACAATTTTTCCTCTTGTCCATGTAGCTGTATAAATTGAACTAAATCCACCTTCTGTCAACTTTGTTATTTTTTCAAATTGCTCAAAAGTTATCCATTCTAAAATATAAGTTGGCAGAGATGATTTCATTTGACATTGTTGAATAAAGTTGTCAACTATCTTATTTCCAGATTTCCAAGTGATGAAAAGACTCTGTAATTGTAAGCTAATGCAACCTTCACAGAACCTATCAGAATATCTTGTCAATTTACACTTGTTACATTCTTTTGGTTTGCCTTTTTTATTTTTTGCATTCTTTAATTCAAACTCATAAATAAACTCTTTTTTACAAAATTCTTTTTCATTTTCAGAAAGCTCCTTGTTTTTTTTCAACTAATGAAAGAAAATAATCTTTTGTATTTTCTCTACGAGAACTGGCCATTGCATTATTATGCATTTCATTACGAATTTTATATACAAATTCCCTTCTTTCTGGTGATAATGATTTAACATATGACATTATATAAAAAATATAAAATATAAAACTTGACTTGTTGTTTTAATGGATTTTTTTTTTTTTTGAGTATAACGGTCACACAATAATCAAACATTTGTGCCGATTGTTTGGTTTTTGGCGTTCTTGGTGCGATCAACGTTTTCCCCATATTTAGCAAAAATTGTGTCGTGCGGAAAATGTTTTGTGCGAGTAAAATGATTAGATAAAAGTCTGCTTTTCGGATCTAATTTTTTGTGAAGGAATTTTTTTGTTTTTGCCTTTTTCCGCATGATAAAAAATTATCATGGAATAATAAAATCTTTTCCCGACCGAAGGGAACTGTTTGGTGAGAATAAATTTTGTTTATTTACATTTCAAGAAAAGCCATTTGATTTCAAAAATTGAATTAATTACTGTTTTTTGTTATCATATATGTTACTAAGAATGCTTTTTTTGGTGGCGGCGAAGCATCTTTCTTCATTTAGTATTTCGTTGGATCATACCATTGATTGTTTACAGAAAACATCATTCTATTTATTAACATTTAATTAATTGAATTGATTATTGTTTATTACTAAAAACATTTCACTATTACTAATTATCTGTTTGATTCGTTTACTTTTTAAAATAAATAAATAATTTTTTTGCTTAATGAATAAATAATAATATGACTTGCTAATTTTGATACTCCAAACGAATATGCCATATACATAAATGATTATTCATGAATTAAGCCATTTTGTATAACAATAAATGATTTCATGGTTTGAATGTGTTCACATAGTGTAAACTTGAATTTTATCTTGATTGCTTGAAAATGGACAGGGACATCGTGGTTGAATGTAGAAGGTTGAGAGGAATGTCTCTACATTGGTGTTACGAAAAAAAAATGTGAGGATGGCTGACCTATATATATGTTTCGAATTTAATAAATAGACTATTGTCTTGGCCTGAGTGATGTCATTTTTTTTGCTCTTTGCGACGAAGAAAACGCAATACAAACCAACCTAACTTTAATGTCGACGTGATGTTAAAATAAATGAATTTTTGATCTCGCATAGCATGCGTGATTGTGTAATAGATAAAGAGTAAAAGCTCAAATTGTGTTTTCAGTTGCAAACTTGTTTCTTTAACACGTATGCATAAAATTTGCCGCGTTACGGTTCCATACTAAAACTTGAGGGTCTCGAAAACTTCTAATTGAGATCTCAGGCAGACCAAGTTAATAAATAGTAGAGGGTCGAAAATCCCAGTATAACAGTATAATAATAACAAGATGGGTTCGTAATATCGCGTGGTAATGTCGACGACTTAGGTTGTTTATGGTGGCGATTTTTCACAATTAGAAATGCATTTTTTTTTAAAAAGAATTTAAATATAATTTCAATATTATTATCACTATCTACCACCGTTTTCTTCTTCACCGCTTTCTATTCTAATCGTTTCATCGTCATCATCATCTATTAGTAAATATTTAATTTCCATTAACTGATTTTCTAATTCTTTTATTCTCATGTATATTCTTATTCCATACTCTCACACACTCTCAAATTCTAATTTACTAGTAATTATTTTCCATGGATATTATTTTCGCCAAGATCATAACTTCCTTTATGAGCTGCTAATAGAAATATACCTGTCTCTTGTATAAGATTGTTGTCAGTAATACTGTTATTCTCATTGGTGTCATGAACTCTTTGAGGTTGTTTTGGTTAATATTAATTATAAGTAATTATTTATTATTTATAGTTTTTAAGTAAATTTCTTTGCTTTAATCTTGTTACAATATTTAATTTGAGAAACACCATAATATGTGAGTAAACTCAGGTCTTTGTAATTGAATAAACAAAAAACATGCCAAGTTTAGTGATTTGGAAAAATGTCCACCATATACAGGACCTTCCTAATTTGGTAGTGGCGCATACGATATGCATGTTTTGTAGAACCTGAATTAGCAAGGGCTCACGCAGATCACAAGTGCCACTTCCAAATTAGGAAGGCTATGTATATTCAGCCACAGGACCGGTCCTGTATATAAGATTTCCAATACTTTTTGTCCCATTTTTAAACATTTTTAAAGCATTGCATAAAGTTAAGGCAGACAATGCCTTCATATAAGGTGTTTTCCACAATTTATTCAATTTAATTAATCTTACAGTAATATTTTCTCCTTCATCTCTCAATCTGCTAATTTATGCTCCAACTTTTCTACATCTTCTTTTTTCATCTCTTTAATACATAAAATAATTTTAAAAATTCATCAGATCCACCAGGTGAAGGGTATGCTCCTCTAAATTTATCACATATGCTAATCCTGTAAGATCAATCAAAATTTTCTCCTTGATTTCTATAC